CCGGGCTTGGGACCGGCACAGAAGTCACTGGCTTGCAACCCCTGTGGCTAGATTATTCAGCAACAAACACCGAAAGCCCTAAACAGCCAGCTCTTTACAGTCGGTATAATCATCGGCAAATAGATAAGCTCGTTTTAGATAAGGATAAGGAAATTCACCTGTATTGGCAAAGTATGTTACATACAGGGAATGGCAAATATAAGTTACTACGACAAAACGTAAAAGACAGAAAAAACATAAAACACTCACTTGAACGAGGGGACGCCTAAAACAAACGACCTGCGGGTGTCAAACAGAACAAAGCACGGAGAAAGTCAATTTAAACACCTGGGTCTCGTTCTTCTTCCCTTTGTTTGATGACGGTTGACAAGCAGCTTGTAGGTGCTTTACCGCCCCCTTCTGGACAGGAGTGCGCATCAGAACGACTACTACTACTGTACACCACTATACTTATCATACTGCATTATTTTGTTTACCAAGTCCGTCATTTACTGCAAATGCGAGGATCGATCCTGTATCTATCCCATATTCCCCGAATTATTTTGCAACATTTATTAAGTTAAACATAATGTTGAATGTAATGAAATGTTGTGAATCAGAAGCCGCCGAGGAGGCCGCTACTTTTTTGGGGGGCAATTAGAAACATCACAACAAGCTGTAAACAAGCACTGAACGAAGATATTTCTTAACTTAACCTTCCAGTTAATGTCTGCCCCTACTACCAATACTGCTGCTATAGATTATTTGCATTATCACTCAGTCGATTTTTGTATTAAAGTATCATTCGTTTATTTTAGAAAATTGCACACATACATGAAACTTAGTTTTTCAGAGAGATGACTTGGTCTAAGGTTGGCTAAGTCTCCAGGAAATGAATGGAAGTCAATGTAATGTCCCCTGAAGTGGTGGAAACACAACGTGCGCGCGCGCGTGTAGGGGCGGGGTCTCTCTCTCTCTCTCTCACTCTGTCGCACTGTCTCTCTGTCTCTCTCTCTCTCTCTCTCTGTGTGTCTCTGTCTCTCTCTCTGTGTCGGAATCAGATCGTCTCTATCATCCTGACGCTGACATGTGAGTACCTCAATCATTCCTAATTATTTGAGAACCTCTAAAAAAATTCAAAATATCTGTAAATATCTCTTTCCTACCGTAGATTCAAGTGTAACCGCTCGTCTACAAACTGTGTCGTTTTCTAATCTCAAGAACATCCCGAAGATGTTGTTCCCCCCGTATTAAAACTGCTAACAATCATTTTAAGTCATATTCCATAAATTGTGACCATTGGTTTTATTCCTTTGATTTTTTTTTGCAAAGCGGGAACTTGTGAGGAATCTGGAAATTTCTGCGCTGCAGCTCGGAGTCTGCAGAAACATTACTATGACTCACTGCTGACTCACCTACAAAACTATCCATCAATACTCTGATCAGCTCAGTGCTTTTCTAACACCAGCTGATCTTTGATCAGACAAAGAGGCTGCTCAGTTCACAGCAGCACGTCTGGTGACTGGAGCTGCTTCCCAAAACTACAGCTCAAAGGATTCAAAAAACATTTTATCTGTATTTTTGTCTTATTTGTATTATCCGTGTGTGTGTGTTGGGGGGGTTATCTGCATGTTTGTCTCCATCAGTCCAGTCCAGCCTTCTCTGCTCTGGATCGCTGCTGCACTAATGTTTCTGCTTTTTGCCTCTAGAAAACTGCCTGAGCAGTAAAACCTGAACTGCTGTTTGGTGTGATTGTGCATCAAACCTGCTGCTCTGTGTGGATCCTGCAGAATTAAACAGCCAACTGAATTTCAATTAGGCACTTTGGAATATTGTAAAGTTGGGATTTTGCCTTTGTTACATGGCTGGAGGCCAACATTTGATGAGTCGTGTTTTTATTCTTCCTACTGTCTGGACAGTTTCTGTTTTATAAAATAGCTGAGCAATGACAGATTTCATCTAACAGCTAAGAGCATAAAAGACAGTGGTGGAAGAAGCACTAAAGCAAAATGTAAATGTAGCAGTACCACAGTGTAGAAATGCACTGTTACAAGTAAAGTAATAGTCCAAGCAAAAGTAAAGTAGAAGTAGTAATGCTACAATGGAAAATATTGCAAGTACAGGTAAAGTAAAAGTCCTGCGTCAAAACATTACTCAAGTTAAAGTAGCATTTTTTGTGGTACAAACTACATAAGCAGTGGTTGCTGTATTACGAACAGCACTGGTTCATGCTTTAGCTTCCATCACTGTCCTGCAGTGTAACTGTCACTCAGGTTTAAAGCCTCCTCCTTGTAGCAGGGCCACAGCTGAATTTACAGCTGAGGGAGTTCAGCTGAAGACAGACTTGTGCCAGAAATACATTTATGTGCCGAGTTCTTCTGAACTTAACAACATTTATGGACTGTTCTTATTTCTAACAATCACTTCACCCGTGTCCCTCTCTGTCCCCAATACACACTCACTCGCTCCTGGCTTGCAGGTCGACCCCAGAGGCAGCAGGTGCTCCAGGAGCCCCAGGGGCCCCGGAGGGCGAAGGGGGCCTTCCAGCTTCGGCTCCAAACGTCACCAGCAACAGACGACTGCAGCAGTCACAGGCGCAGGTGGACGAGGTGAGGACACCGCTCTGAGGTTTGTGTTGCCTCCATTAACACGAGTTAATGCTGCTGCTGTGGAGCCAGATGTCAGAGGGCAGAGGTGAAGCTACAAACTGAGTCAGTGGAACAAGGTTTTGGAAGATGAGTTCGCAATTAAATTAAATTTAGAAGAATAGATTTTTTTATAAATAATTTTTAAATATCCAAACAAAAAGAGATATACTGTAACAAACTTTGGACATCAGCATACAGCACACGTCCAACAAAGGACATCCCCAAATCAGCTGCATTAAAATAAATATACATCACAGAGACACATATTTTTACAAGCCTCCAAAGAATAACCAGACCACCAGTAAAAAAAGAAACTCAAGATAAAAGCTGCATATTTAGCATCGCAACATGTTAAAAGCTTTCTCCCTGTGACGGTGATGCTGACAGGTGTCTCTGCTCCTCAGGTGGTGGACATCATGCGTGTGAATGTGGACAAAGTCCTGCAGCGAGACCAGATGCTGTCGGAGCTGGACGACCGGGCTGACGCCTTGCAGGCCGGAGCCTCGCAGTTCGAGAGCAGCGCTGCCAAACTCAAGAACAAGTACTGGTGGAAAAACTGCAAGGTGGGACAGGTTCATATTGCTCGGACGTCTTTCCCATCCTGCATCAGATGTCCACAGCACCACATGCAGACAGACACTTAACACCTGCTGTTCACTGATTCAGCTCCTGCTTCTAAACTACTGCTGATTTAGAAACCTGCCTTTGCTCTGAGAGTCTGTTTTCACTGGCTGAGAACTGGAGTCTCAAACTGTGGAATGTAAAAGATGTGGTTTAAATTTACCACCATGTTTAACCCTGATTGGCTGAAGTTTGTCCTAAATTTCAGGAGGAGGAGTCACACTGACATGAACAACCATCTTGTAACACTGATACAGCTTCCAACATGACAGCTCAACAGTGGACATTAACTAGTGAATCATCTCTAACTGCATAAACCAGACTTCATCACCCTGAACTCACAGGAGCATCACCTGAGCGAGACACAGCTCAGTCGGAGCTCTCTTCCTCCATCCTCACCACATCACTCTATCCCTCCATCCATTTTTATCTCAGTGTCATTTCACAAACCAATCCTGAGGCAGGGTGGTGTGGAGGATTACGTTAGAGGAGAGGGAGCGAAAATCCCAGTCTGGATTACAGTGACACTCGGGATTAAAGAGCCAGCTGTGATTTGTGATGTAACTCCACCTACCAAGGCCCCCCCAAGCCTCCAATATTAACCCTCATGACACAACCATTGTGTGTAGTGTTTTTTCTGTAATTGGTGGGTTTTATCAAGCCGACACACAAATCACACATCTGGTGATATAGATCATGAAAGTATGCTAGTAATAAAAACTGTGTTTGTATCCAGAACCTGTCATATCTCCTTCCTCTGTGCCACAGAGCTCCACTGTTGTGCAAAAGCGGTTCAAGCTTTACCGTACATCATCAGTAGGAACCAGTGGGCTCGGAGCTGAGAGCCACAAACAATGTAGGGAAGCTAGAGAGTATCGGGAGATGGACTAACACATTGTTGTGTTGAGCTCTTCATGGGATTTGTTGACAATAAGAAAAACAGAGACTGACACCAGCCTTTTCCTTTTGAGGCTGATTCTGACATTTTTAGGTCCAGTAGCTTTAGTCCGGACTGATTTTAAATCAGTGACATGAGAGACTCACAGCCCTGCAACCACATGCACAACCACAACCCTAATTTAGTCTATTTCTAACCTTAAAGCCAAGTCGTAACACTCTTACAGAGCTCTGAAGAAGTGAGCACTGACCACAGTGTCCTCACACTAATGGCCCACAAGTCCAGGTGGTCCTCACAATAGATGGACAAAGCACACATACAAACAAACTCACAACCACTCCACTAACATCTGGTTTCTGTCTTTTCCTTTCTCATGTTCTGCCTCTCAACACACACACACACACACACACACCAAGCTGACACCCGACTCTCGCTCTCTAACCCCTTGTTTTTGTTCATCTCTCTTGTCCTCCCCCCACCATCAGAGGTGATGAGATTTCTTGTCTGTCAGCCGCACTGACTCTCATGTCACCATGTGGATTTATTGATGGAGTATTTAGGTCCACACACACACACATCACCTGACTGTACGTGTTGTTCAACCATGCATTATTGTACAACAGCCAGATCATCAGCTGGGATTCCATCAGACTTGTTGCCTTGTTATACAAAATGCTCTGCTGTAGAAAATAGAAAGACAGAAAGAAAAGAGCAACGTTTAAAAGGGTGAACCTTTATTTAACCAGGTATCACTGAGAGCAGTGCACCTTTAACAAGGGTCTGTTCACACCTGGAAGCTGCCCAGTGCAACCAGTCTGGTCTGCATGACACCGGAGCGGCTCCACTGTATCTGGTCCTAATCCTGTTTTTTTAACCTGTCCGGCCCCAGATTCACGTTCTCAAAGTGAAGCACAGAGCAGATAAGCACCTGCGTTCCTCATAGAGAATGATTTAACACCAGATTTATCTGTGCAATCTCTGGGCCAATTGTTTGTCTTTCTTCCAGATGATGATCATCATGGCTGTGATAGGTGTCATATGTGTTGGAGTCATCTTCTGTGAGTAACTCAGTGCTGAAATCAACACGTCACATGCAGCAGATGTTTTTCTAATGTTGTTCATAAGCCAATGTCCGTGTCTCCTGTCCTCAGTGTACTTCTTCTACTGAGCTGGCCTTCAGGGATCGACACACAGGTTGCAGGACGAGTGTGGACCGACTCCAGCCTCTCCCCAGCGCTCCTCACCCTCCTCTTCCTCACTGATACCTTCGTCTGTGCATGGTCTGTATCGTGCTCCAGTGCCTCCTTTTCCCTCCGCTCCCAGCAGAAGGTGTCTCTCCAGGCAGGTTTGACTGAGCGGAGCTGCAGGTGGATGCAGTGTTTTTGTTTTATTTAGCTGTGAGCGACAGACGGTGGGTTTCTGCATCTGGACTGTTAATTTGTCACGGTTCATTTACGAACTGACTTATTGTTCTTCCTGACGCTTGTAAAACATGTCACCCTCCATGTAGTCGAGCGATTTACCACAATCACAATCTGTTTTAGGAAAACCAGTATGTTATCCACTGACCCAGGTTTGTTCATCAAGTACAGTGCACACTGCTCAGTTCACACAACCTGCAGCATGACTGATCATCTCTATTATTCCTATATATGTGCAGTGCCAGAGGAAGATGCAAACTGGGACCTGTATTAGCTTCTACTGGCTTCCTTCAAGTGCATCCAACAAGGTTTCAGTTGCCAGTTTTCGCTCCTACACAGACAAACTACAGTACATGTTAGAGACCTGAAATCTGAGCAGCAGGTGACTGCTGAGCCGGTGGGACCAGTCTGCTGCTCTGCTTTCTGCCATTTCTTTCATGAGGTCACACCAAGTTTAGCCTGCAGACCAGTAGCCTGCACACAATGAGGTGCAAACAATGTGAGGCAATCACAAGTGTCAACAACCGTGATGTACAAAGAACTTTAAAAAGGTTTAGTAATCCTAAAGTTTGAAGAATCAAAGCTGGGTGAATGGATTCCTGCTTTGCGTTTCCCTCCCCACACCTGCTCGGGCTGTACCGTACTTGAAAGCTGCCCTCTTGCTGTCAAAACTGGAACTACTGCCAAGGTAGAAATGTGAGCTTCTGTTTAAACACAACAGGAGAGATTTACATTTGTTTCCGTTTGTCTGTGCACCCCCTTTGAGATGTGGTAACAGTTATGATGCATCATCAGTCCTGGTTTTACTTTTGTCTTGTGAACCAACCTGACATGTCTGTGTCCTAAACCTGTGGACTGCCTGAAGCATTTCTGAGGCATGTTCTCTGAGTGTTGGTGTGTGTTCGTCACCACGAGACTGTACTTAATACATGACTAATTATTACTGAACCTGAGAGAAGAAATTAGTAGACCATCTGAGGGTTGTCCCCACTGTGCTCAGTGGGAATCAGGATCAGTGAAACATCACATTATGTTAACAAGCACTATTATTCTGATTATGGCCTGAGATTTGTAAACTGTCTGCAACAGACAGAGTGTTTGTGCTGATTTACGCTGCGTTGATTTGATTCTGCTGTCATAAAATAAAAACACTCCTCTAAAACTCTTGTTAGTTTACTGACATGCAACACGATTAAATCATACAGTCAACTTCAGAAATCAATCCTGAAATTAATAAGTGGGGCTCTGCCTTCACAGTACTGTTGGCAATCTGAAGCTTTAAGTGCACAAAATAAAACTGCACTAACCTGTGACTTTGTTTCAATGTACCTGCTCCTGCCCAACTGAGCAAACAAACAAATAGTTTATTACTTTTTTATTTAGGTCCCAAAAAAACCCATCATAATAACATTATATCAATAATATTAATACAGAAATTGAAAAAAGGAGGAATAAAATAAAATAGCTTTTCTGTCCACAGCCTCAAACTTGGGTGATTCAAGGATTCAATCCTCCAGAAAAATTATGAAGTCTGTTTGTTTAGGGGGTGGGGGTGGACTGGGCGTGGCTTCAAGCTTGGGCACGCTGTGTCGTTCTGCTGTGCACCAGTCAGGAATGTCGGGGCGAGTCAGGGGGTGGATCTCGAGGTACAGAGCTGAGCTTCAGTCTATTGCTGCGACATCTGGAGGAGGAAGACAAGAAATAAACGAGGTAGTGTTTGATTCAACTAAATCTTAACACAGGAGAAATTTACTTTGCACTCAGATAAATAATCAATGCCTTTTAAGCACCAACAGATATTCTCTTATGTTCAGCAAATGTTTTTCTGAAAACCATCAAAGCCTGGTGGCGCAGTGGTTAGTGCCATTGCCTCACAGCAAGAAGGCTCCGGGTTCGAGCCCCATGACCCTCTTCAGGATAAGCCATACAGATAATGGATGGATTATCAAAGCCAGTAAAAATTCTTATCAAACCTCAAAGCTATGCAAATGTTTTCTGAGCAGTTTAAAAGCAATAACCTGTTCCTACATAACTACATTCAGTTTAAAATCAGATGTTAAAAGGGAACTACGCTGTGTGTGTTACCTGTTGTGTCTGTGGTTGTGGCTCGGGGCCCCGGCTCGCCAGCCGGCTCAGGATATTCCTCTCAGACATCTGGAGTCGCACGGCAACCGGTGGTATCCGGGCAATGGTTGCCGGAAGGCGGGTAACATCTGCCTTCATGTCACTCAGCAGCTCCTCCAACTGCTTCAGCACTGAGGCAGAGACAGGAAGCAATAAGGGACTTATCTTCAGAACATTTTTATGATGATTGAGTTCAGAGTCCAGTTCACACCACAGAGCTTCTCCACAGTGGTTTCATCTCCTCATTTTACTTTAACATTTTCCTGCTGCTGTTTTCACTTTCTGGTCTGATTCTCTGGATGGATTTTAAAGCTCATATTAATTCAAATAGCAGAGATGGGGGATAATAAATATGTTTAGCTGTACTCGACAAGAGCAGATCATTTTCTCTACCAGCTGTTGTGATACCTCCTACTCTGGACTCTGACCTTTGTGCAGGACGGCGTTGGCAGGTTTGTTCCCAGACATGGACTCTTTGCTGAGGTGCTGGTGGGACTCGGCCAGACACTCCACCTCGCTGAATCGGGTGTTGAGGGCCATGGAGGGGTGGGAGGGGTCCTCCGACATGTTGAGGTAGGCGGCGCGACGCAGCTGCTCCTCGATCACCAGCGCCTGCTCCAACAGCTGGAGGGGGAGGAAAGGAAGAGAGAAAGACTTGACATTACAACTGCAGCACCTCCATAATCTGCAATATTCTCCTGATTGCATTACAAACTCTTGTTCATCCATTCACTGCTAAACCACAACCACCCCCAGCAGTTCCAGAGTCAGGTATGAGTTTCATCCAGTCTTGCAAAAAACATAAACGAAGAGCTGGTAATACAAAAGGGTCCTGGTCTCTGTGGAGTCCCTCTGGAAAGACCTACGAACCAAACTGTTCCTGCTGTGTTTGTGCTGTAGATGAGTTTAAATTCCTGTTTTCATTCAGAGCTCTGTATTTGAAGAACTTGATTTCCACTCACTTTTTAATTACTTCAAATAAATAAATGAAATAATCATTACCCCCTTGGATTTTATGTCTAAAACATGAGAAATGCTGAAGAAGAGTTTACAGAGCTACAACAAAACAGAAGGTAGGGGAGGAGCGAGAAGACCCAAACTCTCTAATGAATGAAAAGATTTCATGGCTACACTTCACCTATAACATTTGGATTCGTACCTTGAACCTTCTGGCGAGGAACTTGTTCTTGATTTCCAGAAAATTGCCTCTGTTCATCTCTCCTTTAAACGGCTCGTTGAGGATGGCGAACTTTACGTCGTTCTGGATGTCCTGCCAGCGGGCGTAGCCGTGTCTGCAGGGAGCCATCAAGGCGAACAACTATCTCATTTCAAAACACCAAAAGAACCATTCGCTGTTACATCCACCACACCGAAATCTGTCTGTGAGCCAAGCACGAGTGGGAGAAGGATACTGTATGATGCCGGCCAGCAGCCAGTAGTCATGGCGACGATGCCAGATCTCATTGGTTTTCTTGGTAACAGTGGCAGCACGCTCCTCGTTCTGCCACAGGGAGTGAAGCTCTGAGGAGAGAGAGAGAGAAAGAAAGGTCACTGATAAAATGAAAACAACTGTACGCTCTGTGTGTACGCTCTGTGTGTGTGTGTGTGTGTGTGTGTGTACCTGTGAATCCTCCATCTGCGATGTTGAACATGAACCTGGTCTTGGCTTTCTTCTTCTCTTCACTGGCTGCTCCAGCGGCGGCTGTACCTTCCTTGCTGCTGTCTCCGTTCTGCAGCTTGGTCGCCTCCTCCAGCTTTGGAGCCTCCTTCTCATCCTTCAGATCTGCAGGAGGGGCGTTAATGGAAACACGATTAACAACAGGCATGAACACAGAAGGGGAAACCTGAACTACTACACAGGGAAATACCACTGATCACCTGCAGAACTGTGCATTCAGAGCCAAGGTTCCTGTGTGATATATCTGAAAGATAAGCAGGTGTACAGGGTGTTACCTTTCTTTTCATCTACAGGAGGAGTGGTGTCCATCTTTTCTGTCTTTTGTTCTGCTGCAAAACAAGGAAACTTTAAGAAACATCCAGGATTACAAAAAAATAACAGACTGAGAAAACAACCACCCCCATCTTTGGGCTTTGCCCATCTGTTTTAAAAGTTATTCATTCATTCATTTAAAAGCCTTTCAGATGCATTTATGTGACAATTTTAAGGACTGAAACACTTGATTACTCTTCAGAAATTCAGCCAAATGTTTAATAGATTAAACTGTTGATTTCACAAACCATTTACATGAGAAGTCAGTGGCTGAAGTTGAATTTCCATTCTATGAGGAAAACTTTGTTGGTGTCCAAGTACTTTAGTACATCTTCCGCCATGTCTTCAGATATTGTATATATCCAATATTCACTTGAATCTGTCTTTGAATCACGGTGAAGTCCTGACAACAAATTAAGGATAACTCTGAAAGACAAAAAAAAAAGTTTCCAGTTTTACCTTTGACTTCGGAGGCCTCAGGTTTGACCTCTGACCCCTCTATCTTGGCCTCTGAAGGCGACCTGGTTTCCTCTCCTCCCTCTGGACTCTTCTTCTCATTCTCTCCCTCCTTCTTCTCACCCTCCTTCTCTTTGACGCTCTCGGCTTCCCCGTTGCTGGCTTTGTCTGTCTCCATTGGTTCCTCCCCATTCTTCTTCTCCTGCTCTGATGACGGACTCTTCTCGTCATCGTCTGGGATGGAGATCACCTGGAAGAGATGTGGAGGGAAAGTGGGTTTTGATTTCTGGAAGAGGAGGTCCAAGGATCCTGCTCACACTCGCGTCACTCAAACTCATCACATCTTTACCTCGTTGGCCGCTTT